AAAGAGCCCAGTGGCAGAGAGGTTTGTTTTAAGAGCTGTTTATTTGTTTGTGTTTTTAATTTTTTTCTTGTAGCCAAGCAAATCTGGTGCATCTGGTATTGGTAAAGAGGTAAGTACATTGGTTCGCTTTTCTCACTTTCATCTCACTGATTTCTATAACAGCCCTCGAGTCGTGAGCCTTCAAAGACTNTTTCTATAACAGCCCTCGAGTCGTGAGCCTTCAAAGACTGCTGGTGGAGTTTCGGCGCCAGGAAGAGAGGTGAAATATCCAAACAATTGGAGAAATTTTTTGCTAACTTCTTTTTTTGAGTAGCCAAGTGCAAGAGAACCGAGTGCATTGGGTAACGCTCCTTCTGCTTTGGGAAAAGAGGTGAGTTGATCTGTTCACTTTTCTCAATTTCACATTCTACTACTTTTTATGAACAGCCGAGCACCAGAGAGCCGAGTGCTTTGGGAAACGCTTCCTCAGCTTTAGGAAAAGAAGTGAGTGAATTTTAAATCTGTTCAAGTCATTATTTTGACTTCGTTAAACTTTCAGCCGAGCTCAAGAGAGCCCAGCAAATCTGGTGTCTCTGGTATTGGAAAAGAGGTTTGTGAAAAAGTCTAATAATAAACGGTTTTGACTAACTTATTTCATTAATAGCCTTCGAGTCGGGAGCCTTCAAAGACTGCTGGAGGAGTTTCGGCGCCGGGAAGAGAGGTAAATATTCAAACAGTTTGATTAACTTTCTACTAAAAACTTCATTTTATAGCCAAGCGCCAGAGATCCAAGTGCTTTGGGAAACGCCCCTTCTGCTTTCGGAAAAGAGGTGAGTTGTTTTATAATCTGGTCAAAACGTTAATTATAATTTGCAATTTTTTAACAGCCGAGCACCAGAGAGCCCAGCAAATCTGGCGCTCCCTCACTGGTTACCAAAGAACCCAGTGGAAGAGAAGTAAGTTTTTGTAATTGATCAACACGTTTTAATTGTTATTTGATTTTGTAGCCAAGCAAGTCAGGTGCCTCTGGAATTGGAAAAGAGGTTTGTGAAGTGGTCCGATAATAATTATTTTGACTAACTTATTTTTACAACAGCCCTCGAGTCGTGAGCCTTCAAAGACTGCTGGAGGAGTTTCGGCACCAGGAAGAGAGGTAAATATTCAAACAGTTTGATTAACTTTTCACTAAAAACTTTTTTCTATAGCCAAGCGCCAGAGAGCCTAGTTCTTTGGGAAACGCCCCTTCAGGTTTAGGAAAAGAGGTGAATTTTTTTAAAATTTGGTCAAGGCATTATTCTGACTTTTTTAAGCTTTCAGCCTAGCTCAAGAGAACCAAGCAAATCTGGGGCCTCTGGTATTGGAAAAGAGGTTTGTGGAGTAGTCTAATAATTACAAGTTTTGACTAACTTTTATCTATAACAGCCCTCGAGTCGTGAGCCTTCAAAGACTGCTGGTGGTGTTTCGGCGCCAGGAAGAGAGGTGAGCATTCAAATGTTCTAGTTAACTTTCTGATAACTACTTTTTATGAACAGCCGAGCACCAGAGAGCCGAGTGCTTTAGGAAACGCTCCCTCAGCTTTAGGAAAAGAGGTGAGAAATTTTTAAACCTATTCGATTTAATATTTTGATTATTTTAATTTTCAGCCGAGCTCAAGAGAACCCAGCAAATCTGGCGCACCCTCGCTGGTTACCAAAGAACCCAGTGGACGAGAAGTAAGTTTTTGTAATTGGTCTACCCGTTTTTATTGTTATTTGATTTTTGTAGCCAAGCAAGTCTGGTGCATCTGGTATTGGAAAAGAGGTAAGTACATTAGTTAGCTTTTTTCAACTTCATTTCACTGATTTTTCCAACAGCCCTCGAGTCGTGAGCCTTCAAAGACTGCTGGTGGAGTTTCGGCGCCGGGAAGAGAGGTAAATTATTCAAATAATTTGATAAACTTTTTCCAAACTACTTTTTATGAACAGCCAAGCGCCCGAGAGCCGAGTGCTTTAGGAAACGCTCCCTCAGCATTAGGAAAAGAAGTGAGTAATTTTTATATCTGTTCAAAGCATTATTTTGACTTCTTTTAACTTTCAGCCAAGCTCAAGAGAACCCAGCAAATCTGGCGCACCCTCGCTGGTTACCAAAGAACCCAGTGGAAGAGAAGTAAGTTTTTGTAATTGGTCTACCCGTTTTTATTGTTATTTGATTTTTGTAGCCAAGCAAGTCTGGTGCATCTGGTATTGGAAAAGAGGTAAGTACATTAGTTAGCTTTTTTCAACTTCATTTCACTGATTTTTTCAACAGCCCTCGAGTCGTGAGCCTTCAAAGACTGCTGGTGGAGTTTCGGCGCCGGGAAGAGAGGTAAATTATTCAAATAATTTGATAAACTTTTTCCAAACTACTTTTTATGAACAGCCAAGCGCCCGAGAGCCGAGTGCTTTAGGAAACGCTCCCTCAGCATTAGGAAAAGAAGTGAGTAATTTTTATATCTGTTCAAAGCATTATTTTGACTTCTTTTAACTTTCAGCCAAGCTCAAGAGAACCCAGCAAATCTGGCGCACCCTCGCTGGTTACCAAAGAACCCAGTGGAAGAGAAGTAAGTTTTTGTAATTGGTATACTCGTTTTTATTGTTATTTTATTTATTTTGTAGCCAAGCAAATCTGGTGCTTCTGGAATCGGAAAAGAGGTTTGTGAAGTGGTCTGATAATAATTGTTTTGACTAACTTATTTTATTAATAGCCTTCGAGTCGTGAGCCTTCAAAGACTGCCGGTGGAGTTTCGGCACCAGGAAGAGAGGTAAAAAAATTCAAACAGCTTGAAAAACTTTTCACTAAAAACTTTTTTTAGCCAAGCGCCAGAGAGCCTAGTGCTTTAGGAAACGCCCCTTCAGGTTTAGGAAAAGAGGTGAGTTGATTTGTTTGCTTTTCACAATTTCATTCTACTACTTTTTATGAGTAGCCAAGCACCAGAGAGCCGAGTGCTTTAGGAAACGCTCCCTCAGCATTAGGAAAAGAAGTGAGTAATTTTTATATCTGGTCAAAGCATTATTTTGACTTCTTTTAACTTTCAGCC